AGCAGTTAGCCCTCTCCTGGCCGTAGCCTAAAAACGCAGGCGGCAACGTATTGAAAACTTTCCTTAACGATTCTTGTATGGCAAAGTATTTTAAACATAACTAATCTGCAGTGAGGAGCACTGAGCGGTGGTTTGAACGGCCGGTTCGCGCCGTCCGGGCGGCGACTTCCGGGGCTCGCGCATAGGCCGCGCTCTCAGCACTGCGTTGCGACCCCCTGGCATTATGGACGGCACACATGTGTCTATTATAGCTCCTCAGGAAGAAAAAGCTGCATATAGGAATTACAAATTCGGATACTCAATCAAAGTTCAAGCTGTTCTTGATGATTCATTACTAGTTAGAGATGTTTACATTGGGGAAGTAGGCAGCCTACACGATGCCAGAGTTTTTAGGAGAAGTCCGTTGTGCCGCAGCATCCTGCAGAGGCAAGACATGTTTAGCCCAGGCGAACACATAATTGCTGATTCTGCATACATGCTCTTGGACCGAGTGAGTATGCTTTGTACTGCATGTTGATGATGTGTGCTTGCCCTTCGGGATGATGGTTCATGTTTTTTCATCCTAGTTATCTTTCAGGTTCTAGTACCATTTGAAAATAATGGACACCTCACTATCGAGCAGAGGAATTACAATCGTAGGTTGTCAAAAGTTCGCGCCAGAGTCGAGCATACATTTGGAAGAGTTGACATTCTCTGGAGGCGAATTTGCTATCTGCCTAATACTAATATAGAGTATGCTGTGGACCACATAGCAGCAACAATTATACTGCATAATTTTAACATTATCCACAAACAGAGATGGAATATTGTAAGTATCTGTTTGCATCAACTTTGCTAATTAAGAAAAAAATGCTCCAGGTCAAAAATACCTACATTTTGTTTTTCAGGGAAATCCAAGAAATGATGAAGAAGATGAAGATGAAGATATAGTAGACAATCCTGAAGACTTTGAGCAAGGTATTAATGATGTCATACCTGATCCCTATGTGCCCCAAGGAAACTTAGCTCTTGAATTAGAAAGAATGCGAATCAGAGGTGATCAAAAGAGGTGGGATGTATGCAATAGACTTGCTCAGTATTTGTATGAAGAATAGGAATTTGTGATTGCAGAGTTTTAAATCATGATTCAAAGCTATATTCCAAAATATTTTATGTACTAATTGTACAGAAAGAAAAAATGAAATTGTATATGTATAACATAGTCAACTTGAAACAATTGTAATAAATTTAAGTCTTTCAGCAAACTGCTAGATGAAAATCCGTATTTGGTAATACATTTATTTTGCATTCATAACAAAATGACGAACCAAAAATTCACCTTCCCTTATTGTCCAACTATAAAATATAAATACTTAAAGCAATTCAGTTTTTAAATTTGTTTAAAGCACAGCATAATGTGTAAACAAAACTACACTTACGAAACTTTACATCAATCAAATCACAGCGATGGAAATTACACTTAAATCACCACCCAGGGTAAAAAAACCATGATTGTCATGGTCAAATTGAGATTTTGACCATGGAAAACCAAGATTTTAATCATGGACATTGCCTAGACCATGGTGATCACCTATGCCCATCTCCCCAGCCATGATACTCTGCACT